TTTTCAGATGTTGTATAAATCTTAATTTTGAAAAATTGACACTTAAGACTGGTTGTGTGGTCCAAGGGTCACATATATTGAAAGAGAGAAAAAAAATCTTCATACAAAAGCGTAATATCGACTGAAAACGTTGTTGTTTTTTTAATTTAGTTAAGTAATATATAATGCAATTGTAAATAATAATGACTTTTAAAAGTCAGCCCCCTGAAAGTTTACTGAGGCCCCCAAATAAGAGTAGTACTTTATAGTAGCAATTTGGTTAGAAACTACAAAATTAGGACAAAGTGAAAAACTGTATTAACAGGTTTGTACAGGTTTGTCAGGGCCAAATGCCTTCACTAATGTAGTAAAATATCATCACAACATCATGTGAGGACATTTTATGTCGACAAAGCAAATGCTGAATATAGTATACCTTTCAAAAAAGTAGCTTACCTGTGGTGGAAGTCGATCACTACCTGCCAGTGTGGGTTCTCAAATTGGCTTCTTAATCGATGGCAAACAACCAACACAAATTCATCTGCAGATCAGAATTCAGTTGAGTGTAGCTGCATGCTCCTCATCCACAGCTATTCTTATTGTATGTGAAAGTATTGCGTTACAATTTGACTGAGTAAGAAATTTCACTTTTTTATAAGATATTTCACTTTTGCATGGATGGGAACATTCTAGAAGTTTCTGTAACATTGCTGAATATTCTCTAATATTCTAGTGCTTTTTGGAACATTCCAGAACATTGTGGAACAACAATCATCCAACACACACTTCTAAAGTTTTTGATGACTCACTTAAGTTAACTGTTTATGTTAAACTGTTGTTAGCTCAGTATTATGCATGCACCATATAATTGTTATGCATCAGTAATAACATATTAGCATGTATAAGTTGTCAACATTTTTTATGAGCACTATTAATGACATCAAATAATGTGATTTTTGTGTTCAAATGTCAAACCTAATAAAGAAACATTAAAAATAAAAGTGAAACAAAACTTTTATAAAAAGTTGTTTCACGGTGTGATTTGTTGTCGTCCGATTCGTCAATCACAAACTCCATCATTGTAGTAGTTCATGTTATTTAGCGACATGTGAAGAACTCTTTCAAAATGTATGTTTGCGACTTTTTGTGCATTTTTAAAGTTTATGAACCGCTTTTTTGCTTTGAAACTCTCCCTTAATGGAGGTATTGTGACATCTATCATCTGTCGACATTTTGTTCCCAAACTACAGCAAGGTTCGGCAAGGTTTGTACATTTAGTACAATCTAATGCGTTACATTTCTGCGCTAAAAATATTGTGATAGATTTGTAGATTTGCTTTCTTGTTTTTCAACTTCATTGAAGTGAAATAATCTATGGCAGCAATCTAGCAACAGACATTTTGGAAAATCTATTTGCAATCATTTTAGATGAAGCCCTGGCAGTTTGTCTTGGGAGAGGAGAGGAGAGGAGTAAAGGATAATTGTCTGTAGTCCAGTAAAACCCAGCATAACTGCCACCACACTTGAGTGAGCTTACAGCCGGCAGATCCCAGGGCCTGGGGAAGATAGAGCAGTTAATGTTCCCTTTTATTTTAGTGGATGTGTCACTTGTATCTCAGATTTATACTATGATACAGCAATTTCGTCCAAACAGATGGATAATAGTGTCAACGAGAGGAGGAGAGAGAAGACGGCGTTTCTTTTATCGAGTTTAGCGCAGATTGTTTGGAGGAGACGGTCGAGGCCGTTCTCTCTTTCCCTCTTAATCTCTCTAATCTCAGCGGCATTAAGCTTGATCATTTTTGTTTGAAGGAGCAGAACGTGGCGGTAATGGCGTCCTAATAGCCAGCGCTGGGGACACAAATCCGGCGGCCCTGTTTTCTGCTGTGCCTCCATAAGCACCTCTGATTTATTGCTCTCTTTATGACAGAGAGGAAAATGATGTGCTGCAGGTATATATCAGCGCAGAAAAGGAAATTGAACGCAGATATCATCTTGTCAGATGGTTAATGCTCTTCCCCCTGTCACATTCGATAGCGCCAATTTGGAGAATCCTGCAGAGGTAAAAAGAAGACAATTAACAATGACAGAGCGGTAATGGATGAGCCCATAAAATGAGGCTGCGGGCTGCAGGATGTTTTGTATGATTTCCACATGAGATAGAGCCACGGGTACATGCTAGCTACGCCGGCATTAACTCCAGACCCCCCCTTCTCGCCCCCATCGGCAGGGACGGCGTCCCTCTGGGTAAAAACAGACCGTATATCGGTGCTGAAAGGGTCATGGGATGCAGTCGCTCTCCTCTGAAGGCACCGTACTGCTTCATGTGAATGCTATGTAATTACCATAATTATCGAGCACTTGTGGGAATCAGTGGGTTTGGTAAGTCTGTTTGCCATTACATCGATTTCCAATGGAGTATCAACTAAAACATCAACTCACCGTAAATCCATGTGTCAGATGTTATGGGATGGATCTAGCATGAGGGCTAAATTATATGAAGGTCAGGCAGTATTTTAACTAGCACTCTGAGACCGCTGTAGACTACAAACTGCTGTATGGTTCCTCTTAGGGGCCGTTTACATGACGTTTTCAGCCAAAAACGGGAAACTTTTTTTGCGTTTTGCCTGTTCGTTTACACGACAACGACATTTTGGGGACTGAAAACCCATATTTTTGAAAACAGGTTTCAAAGTGCAAGTTTTTGAAAACGCCACTGTTATCGTGTCCGTGTAAACACCCAATACGGTCGATTTTAAAATTCCCTACATTGGTCAGGACAGGACAAGAACCCACTGTTTTACCAGAACGGAAAAGTCAAGCTACTTTTACACGTGAAACGACAGCGTCAGTCATCTTTAAATATATAATGGTTTGTTAAAGCACTCAAGTGTCAGCGCTAAAGTAAAAGATGTGCCCTTTCAGAGGTGAAAAACGCTGAAGAACATGCAGAGCGATGATAGGCCTGGCATTTCTTTGCACCATGATGCCTCTAAAAACGTTTTAGAAGAGTCTCCATTTGAGCTACAGCGAGGTTTAATGACTTTTCTGCTCCAGAGAAGCTTATTGTTCCTGTCTAACAATTTACGGCAGGCTCCAGTGCGCAGGGGATGGAGGGGGAATCGGCCCGCCTAAATGTGTTTTGTGATTTAAATGGTAATTCCATTCAAATCAACATATTTTTGGCACCTCATGACCTTTTCGTGAAATGAATTCACGCCACTCAACTTTGTCTTGTGGCATTTAAGAACCACAGAGCCAAAAGCTAATTGCCAGAATTCAACTGTTCGTGGAGCGTCTCGTCGTTCGGGCCGTGGCGCCGCACCCGATGCGATTCTTTAATTTGATTTTAATGCGTCCCTCACGCCTACAGGGGTATGATGACTTTGATAATGATTCAGTTGTCATCATCCCACAGTGAACTCTAATACTGGGACATGTTAATTGCTTTTGTGACATTCAACTCATTATGGCCGGTATCATTCTTCGCGCCCTGGTCTGAATTGCGATGAACCCAACTCTTCGTTTTTTTTACCACAATGCACCATTCAGGCTTCATATTAGGCATCCGCGAGGAGACACATAAGTCTTCTTTTAAGAGGATTTTGAAGCGCTCACCCCAAAGGGCAGTAAATGGAAAAGTGACATGGCTCGTGCTCTTGTCTATTTAACTTATTCAGTTCGTCTGTTATAGATATTCTTGACAAAAATGTTTGGGAGTCCCTGCATTATATGAACAAACATTAATAAACCAGAAAATAACAATGACATTACGCGACAAAAGTCTTCAAGGTTTGAAATATTTTTGTCCAGACCTCCAGAACCAACAGTGACTGAAGGTCACTGGATAATGATGAAGACATAGTGCTTCACAGCTACATCAGTGTTTATGTGCTGAAACTTCTGCAAAGTTTAGCTTTTACATACAGGTTCTATTGTAAACAAAGACACTATTCACACTATTAAACTCAGCAATTTAACTAATTATTGCCGATTTAAATGAAAAACCCTCACAAAAATCCCTTTGACCACTAAACTTTTAATTTCTACTTAACTTTGCTTTACTGATCGATGAAATAACACTGCAATTGTAATGTATAGAAATTAAAAGGAAACAAATAAACTAAAGATAAAGAATATGAAAATCAAGCCCACACACATACACACAAGATAAACAGACAGGTTCATATTGGCAAACCCTCTCTCACTCTACTCCACTGGGACAATAAATAGTCAGCCAATTATTAAAATCATAAGATAAAGGCTAGAGTTATCAGAATGTACAAAGTTCAAAACTATAACAACACTTAAAAATACCATTCATATAAAGACAAGACTATTCACTACAAATCAGATCAAATTAAATACATTTAAGGTCACGCTTTATTTTAAGGTCCAATTCTTGCTATTAACAAACCATTAACTACGACCTTTGCCTCAAACTTAATAATTAATAGTTATTAAGGTAGTTGTTGAGTTTAGGCATTGGGTAGGATTAGGGATGTAGAATATGGTCATGCAGAATATGTGCTTAAGTACTAATAAACAGCCAATATGTTAATAATAGTCATAGTCTAACAAGACACTAGTTAACAGTGAGAATTGGTCCCTATACTAAAGTGTTAAAAATCGAAATGTAAATTTTTACATTAAAAAGGACACTAAATTCCAGAATGAAGATGCATAATTGAACGCGCACACACACTCACACAATGTATCATCAGTCATCACTTGCTATTGACTGAGCACATAATAAGAGAAGAAACAGCAAGACAGGAGTGTGTGTGTGTGTGTGTGTGTGTGTGTGTGTAAGGTAGAGACACCGGGTAAAGCCCAACTAACTAGGCAGCACTGTGGGGGGGGGGGGATATAAGACTCCAATGCCTTTAATCACCTCACAGATCTGCTCTCAGCGCATCAGCAAATGTCCTCTCAGAGGGCACGAGCAGCAGGGACTCGCGCACACACACACACACACACACACACACACAATAGACCTGCAGTAAACAAACCCAGCCCTTCAAAAATCATCCTTTAATACCACGCACGAGTCCTCAGAATATCAGGAGCATCTAACCATCATCTCCTCCTGCTGCTCAGATGAACTCTGGTGGAGATCTGGTACCTGGGGCAGGTGGACAGCTAGACAGGTCTGTCTCCATGGCAACAGCAGGGGGGTCTTGGCTCATCTTGGTTTCTGCAGCGAATTCTGGGAGATGCGGGGCCTGGGGACGTGTCTTCTGGGCCGGGTTCAGAAAATAACAGTAGGCACATCTGAATGCTAAAACAAGCGATAAAAAACAAACTCATCTCATCTGAATGATCCTCAGACACATGAATATGAAAATAAACATGAAGCACATTAATGATTTGTGAACGCATCAGAGGGATGATGCGTTTGCACTTGTTTACATTCAAAAAAGTCCTCTTCTGGTTTAAAGCGCTCAGTGACTACATTTTTCTCTCAAACTCACCAATATATTCAAACTCCTCCTTTAAAGCCATGCCATTATGAGACGAACACTGCTGGCATATCAGAGCGTATCTGCAATGAAAATACGTATCTGCGTATTTTAAACTGAAAATCTTAAAAAAAAAAAAAGTCCAAGGATGTAAGAGACCACATGACATAAAAATTGACCATATTCGTATTCTTAACAGATGTTACTGGTCTCATAAATCTAGTTTAGCCTTCACAACTCAAAGCTTCAAACACGTCCATCCAGACAATTTACTCAAACTAAACCGCAAAACAGCTCACCAAGGCTGCATTTATTTGATAAAAAAAAGAAAGAAAACAGTAAAACCGTAATACTGTAAAATATTTGCACATTTTACCCAACTGTCTTCTATTTTAATATATTGTAAAATGTAATTTATTCCTGTGATGCAGAGCTTAATATGTTCATGGAAACGGTAATACGTTTTTTTCTTTGATGAATAGAAAATTCAAAAGAACAGCATTTATTTGAAATAAAATATATATATATTTTTTTTTTTATTATTTTTTTTTTTTATAAATTCCTTCTGATCCAATTAATGCATCCTTGCTAAACAAACTTTTGTATAGTAGTATATATTATTTTAAAGAAAGAAAGGTTTTCTTAACCTTCAAATGTAAGCATTTATTAATCAGCCCCATTATAAAAAAAACAATGGAATTGGCAAATGGAAAAGGCAAAATAAAATAGATCGTTTAGGCAAGTACCAGTACACATCTCAATAATAATAGCGTTATATATATATATATATATATATATATATATATATATATATATATATCACCCAGATAAAAAAAGGCCGGAAAAAA